GGGGGAAGGAGACAGGGAAGAGAAGAAGGGGAGGAGAAGGAAAAGGAGGAGGGGAGGCTGAGGATGGGGAGGAAAAGAAGGCAGAGGAAGAGCAGGAGGAGGGAAGGAGCAAGGGAAAGATCCTAGATGTGCCTGCCTAAGGTGAAATTCTGTGAAATGACTGGTTTGTGGGAGTTATGATGTTGTATTTCACCAGTCCACCCCGCGTTTGCTCACTGTGAAGATTTGTCTCGCTTCACCCCAAATGCTGCAGCACAGCTGAGGCCTAAGGCTGGGCCCTGCATCCTCAGTGGCCAGGACCCACTGCAGCATCTGTGCCTCAGACTCAGGTCCCTCCTGCAAGGGAATGGACAGCCTAGGGTGGAGGACAGGGACAATGGTGAGGCGGAGACACCTGGGGAGTCTGCCAATCCCTCTGCCACTCAGGCTGTGCTCCCAAGCCGCCCCACTGCTATTTATCAGGGAAAGAATGGATCTGTCACATTTCCAGGTCTTCATCTCTATGAGGAAAGCATATGTGTCCACAGGGTCATCGTGAAAATTAAATACAGTTAGGTACACATACACACAGTATAACGATAAGCGACAGGCAGGTGCCCATCAGCTGTCTTTCATTCTCCATGTTCAACTCCACAGGACACCTAGAAACAGAAAACCAGAAACCTCACTCTGCACCATGGGGGACTTTAATATTTTTATGGCGAACTGGGGAAAGTTCAGTTTTATAGAATGGGGCAAACGGGGTCTTTTTCTATTTCATTTTATATGCTGACCATTTGTCATAGACTACGCTGCTTTACAGGTCTGCCTACAAAGCCTGGTTAGACAGCTTTACTGCACAGAACTCCAGATGGCAAACACAACAGAGAATGACCTGACCTCGTATCCTGTGGCTTTTGCTAGCTTCAAGGGAAGAATTCTTTCAAAAGGCTTTAAAAGGCCAGATTGTATATGGTACAGAGGCAGAGAGACACTCACATCATGTGCAAAGGTGGTGTGTGTGTGTGTGTGTGTGTGTGTGTGCGCGCGTGCGCGCACGCGCACATAATCAGCCTGTCTCTGAGGTTCTGCACCTATGGATCCAGCCCATCTCCACCACACATATCGTAATGCACTGCACCTGTTCTGAACAGGTCACCCCCCCACACTTATGGCTTTCCCTGAACAATGCAGTTTGTCATTGTTTACATAACATTCACACTGTGTTGGGTTCTGAGTGGCCAGTGATGAGAGGATCCTGTACTGTTCTGCCACAGTGAGGTACACATTCCTGCAGCACACATTGGCTGTCACAACATAAAACACAGTCAGACATTAGCTACACGCTCTGTCCCTCTGGACACCTCATCTGTGCTGTCCAACCTGGGGAATCAAAGGCATTGTCATGGGGAGATGAAGCACAGAGCAAGGGGAACAGAGCCCTGGAGGCCTGAACCTGGCCCCCTTGCCTTCGTGGTCCACTCTACAGCATGCAGCAAGTCAGTGCAAAGGGCCAGACAACGGGAGGCCTGGAACAGACACAATGCCCAGCCTTAGTGCTCAAGGGTAACAAGGACCCTGCAGCTCACACACAGGTGAGTGAGAGCAACAGAGTACATAAGGCTATGATAATCTGGCTCCAAGATCCAGAAAACAAAATAAGACCACTGCTTCTCCTTCAATAACTGTAACTCAGGACCGGAAACAGCACACATTCGCCACAGGAAACCATAGGATCTGGGAACCTAGTGCACTGCCCCTGAAAACTGTCCCACAAATGGCTCCATCCTACTGCTCAAAGGGAGCAGTCTAAATCTAGACATGAAGACACTTGGGCCCTAACTCATCATGTAAGGCTGCTCTGCACACTGTAGGACGTTTGTAGTAATCCTGGCCTCTCCATATCGAACCCCAGCCAGCACCTCACTGGCCATGACAACCAACATACCTCCACACACTGCCGACTGTCCCCAGGGAAAATCCACCCCAGTGGAGAGTCACTGGCAGGAACCGGACACGGCAAGTTCGGTCCATATGTAAGATTCTCAGGTGGAATTTAGTTTTACCCAATATTAAAGACAGAATTCAAAATAAACTAATAACAAAAAATAATAGCAATGATTTTTAAAAGCTCTAAAGATAGAAATGACATTGCTTTTGAGGGGGAGGAAAAAGAGAAAGAGAGAGCAGAGGAAGAGATGCAGAAGGGGAGAAGGAAGAGGAAGAAGAAAAATAGAGGAGGAGGAAGAAGCAGAAATTTGTGGCATTAATTTAAAATTATCAATAAAGGGAATAAGGGATATTTCTTCATAATTTACAGATAGAACCAAGATTTTGCTGGGTAAAATTATGCAGGAAATCTTTTTCCCTCCAGTGCCTGGATTTTTATTTTGTTTTGTTTTTTCAGGATGACACTGGTGTAGGAAACCCAGAAAACATCCACATAAAAGGATAACGAGGGCACGGAAGGCATGACCTGGTTTCTCTAAACATGCAGTGGCCTGCTGAGGCTGGACGCTGACAGCAGAGGGTTACATGCAAAAGCCAGGAAAGGTGAACTTTAGGAGAAGGAAAACATTAAGCACAGTCCAGCTCTGCACTAAAGAACATGTATCCAGTCCTTACATTTTATGAAAACTGGTCCTGAAATTTGAGGGGAAGCAACCAGGCAGGGAAATGATTCAGTCACCTTTGCAACAGGAAATCAATTGATAATCCAATAATGAATAAGCCAAGAAAGGCTGTGACAAGCCCAACAACCAAGGCTATGATGATGAACCCAAAAGGAATCACTGCGTGGACTTGAAGCCATTCACACTGGTGAATGAAAAGGGAAGGGAGGGCTTGGCTGGGGGACTCGCTCTTAGTCACTCGTTACAAACAACAGAAGCTTCTACAGTGGAGCTCATTTTCACACACAATTTTAAAAATGATGTGGATAGCATGAGGCTTTCTGTGTACATGCCTAGGCTCTTAAAGCACACGTAAATCCACCTGAAAAGGGACTCAGAAGCTTTTACAGAAGATCTCTGTGCTAGGAGTTGGGTAGTCTTTTCTGGCTTATTTCTCTCTTCCAGTGTTTCCACAATAGACACAGGTTGCTTTGTACTAAGCAGAAAGTAATTTTTACAGTTATCTGATGAATAAAATGATATAGTGATTGGGTAAATATTCCCAGGGACTGCAGTGATATAACTTCAAATAGCCAAGTTACTGCAGCCTTGAGATCTGGCTGGTTATGGGATGAAGAAATGAATATAGGACACTAGGCATAGATGTTTAAAGGATTCATGCAGTAAAGTGAGTCAACTCCTGCATAAGTTACAAATGGAGATTTGGGATTTTGGAGGAGCAGTCAATGGTATGCCCCTTGCCTGGCATGCTGGAGGCCCTGGATTCCACCCCAGAACTGCAGAAAAACAAAGCAAATGAAGATCTGCCTCTGGTCTGGGATCAACCCCATCACCCGAGGAAGGCGCCACAACTGCCCTCTTCACGCTGAGCCGTCTCTGAGAAGGCTGCGCAGGTCACAGATGGTAACCACCCACTGCCATCCTCTCCTGGCCGATGGGCAGATCTTCAGTCTCCACAGCTGGGGATGCCAGGAGGAACTCACTTCACAATCTCCAGCGTCCATGAGAATCCCGTAGTCAGGATCCCCATGCACTGTCAGAAAAGATCTGAATTTCTGCCTTTTCCCTTTAATCTTGTAAGAGGTTTGTAGTGAGGAACCTTTCCCAAAGAGAGGCTGGCCAACCAAAGGGCTCTTCGAACAGGTGGGGGCTCACGTGTGTGTCCCAGTGACAGACCCTGCATTAGCAGCAGCACCTGCACCACTGTAGACGGGAAGTAATGGGGTTGATCGTGTGTCCAACAGGAAGTCTCTCCGTACCACATCAGCCCGAAAATTCAAGATGAGGGCTGTTTTAACAAGCTTTTCAGTACTACTTCATTTTAAAATGTGCTTATTTAAGGCAGTAGCATTTATTTTAAAACACAGCTTAAGCAGTCCTAATCAGAACATCTAAAATATAAAGTGCTCCAAAATCTGAAATATTTGGGGTGCCAAAATGAAGCCACAAGCAGAAAAGTCCACTCCCTGAAACTGTTGCATGCACAAAGTCATTAAAATGATTATATAAAATTACCTTCAGGCTATGAATAGGAGTACATGAACTGAAAGGAATATGGGGTGCGGGCATGGGTCCTACCCTGAAGCTCTTTCATTACATATATGCAAGTTGTCCAAACTGAAAATTCCCGGTGCTGTGCATTTCAGACCAGGAATACTCAACCTGTATTATTACCGTTAGGAAGCAATAATTCAACAACTTTTTTCATTAGAGGAAAGCTGTGTGCCTCATAAAGTGCCTTGCCTTCCTCGGATCTCTTGCTCCAGGCGACTCTGAGCCCCTCCATGTGCACAAGCAGAGTGCCAGGTGCCCGGCCCCGGCACTTCCTGTCCTGTCTCCTGGTCCCTGCAGCTGGGAGGAGCCACTCTGGCTCTGTCTCATGTCACTGTTTCTATCCCTTCATGCTGGGTGGTGGGACAGAAACAGTCCACACCCTTCTCCAGATCTCTACCAGGAACTCACTTTCCTGGATGTTAAATAAATGAATCCCCAGCTTCTGGTGGAGGCACAACAAATGAGTGCTAATTGATAGATTTTTTTTAATAAAAATTTGATCTTCACATTTTCAGATCGATGCAACTGCTTTCAATTTACTGTTAACTTAGTAGTAATTTCTTTCATAAGCTTGCTTTGTATCTCAAATTTCCTGCACTCTAAAGTAGAAGTCTTCCTTCTTCAGTGAGCTCTCTACAACACAAGCCCTGAATCTGAAAATCAGAAAACATCCAGTGTGGACAAACTCTTGGCATATTTGGTTCAAGCCTTCAGGGTCACAGATAAGGAAACAGGAAGTGAGAGGAGAAGTGACCTAGCCAAGTCACCGAGCCACTTCCTAGGTGGGAAGGGGTAGGACCCAGGGGACCCACGCACATCAGCACGCTTCCTTACCATAGCTCTGGAGCTCTTCCATGAGTCTGTCCACTTCAACATGCAGCTGGCTTTCTACAAAGTTTCTTATAAATTTGTTTCTCAGGGTTTCCTGAAGGAAAATAATCTGGCTTCATAAAAATAGTAGCATCATGTCTTAGTACTTAGTAATAGTTGTATTAGACTTATTCAAAGGCTCATGACAGCAGAAAAAGACACATAAAGTGAATCTACTTAAAACATGTTCTAGCTGGGCATAGTGACACACACCTATAATCCCAGCACCCAGGGAGCTGAGGCAGGAGGATCCCAAGTTTGAGCCCAGCATGGGCAATTTAGAAACTTAACCAGAACTTGACTCAAAATTAAAATTCATAGAAGGGGTTTGGGTTATGGCTCTGCACAAAAGCCCTGGGTTCAATCCCCAGTATAGCAAAATAATAGTAACAATAACTAATACGAATTCTAAACATAATGAATAACAAGTTAATGTTCAATGAAGTATTTTCCTTGAAAAACAAAAGTAAAACTTAGGAAAATTTATAAAGGAACGGTAATGACACACTAATACTAAAAACAAAGATTGCATTATGACTTGCGGGGGCATGGTTTTCTAATGGAGCCACATGGTGCTCTACTTTCTGGAAGATGCCGTTGTTTCATGACCTTTCCAAGGGCCAGGTGCAAACCATAGCCCACGGTTTGCCGATGAGGTGGGACGGGAGCACCCAGCCCTCCCACTTCCTGGTCACCTCGAGGTCACCCCCGAGATCAATGGTTACTCTGGAGTGTTCTCCAAAACCACTTTCACCAACTTCACGAAAGTCTGCATCTCAGTTCGGTGGTCAGCATTTGTTCCCTTTATTCTTCACAAAAAAATCTGAGAGGGAGGGAGAAGTACGGCTGCAGGGAGGCTCACATGGGGAAGAGCTGGGGACTCGCCACTCCTCAGAATAAACCTGAGCTCTCCAGACTTTGCTTCCCACAGACTGGGCGTGGGCAGCTCTAGTAACCGGCACTAAACCTCTGTGTTTGCTTTTTTAAAAATCTCATTTACCTTCTTGATGGGCACTAGCTATTGGCAGACAACATGCAGGGTACTTTATTGCACGTGATCTCATTTAATTCAGTAACCTCCCCAACGAGGACTTGACAGTTGCCTTCTACTGAGGGGAAAAGCCATAGGGCCAAGTCAGGAACACCACCCAGAGGCACCAGGAGCACAACCAGGTACAGGCTTCACTCCAAATCCAAACACAGACAGCTTTCCCTGAACATAAACCCAGGGCCAAGAAAGACTCAGAATTTAGGAGCCAGGCAGGGTGGTACAAGCCTATAATTCCAGCACTCTGGGAGACTGAAGCAGGAGGATTCCAAGTTCAAGTTCAAGCCGATCTCAGGCAACTTAGTGATTTATCCAGACCTTGTCTCAAAAAAAAAAAAAAAAAAAAAAAAAAACCACC